AGCAGTCAAGAAATCAAACGACAAATATTGGGCAACTCTGCTGCAAAAGACCTCTTCAAAGTGTTAAAAAGCAAAGATGTCATTTTAAGGACTAAAGTGCACCTGACCCAAGCCATGGTGTTTGCAGTCACCTCGTATGCATGCAAAAGCTGGACAATGAATAAGGAAGACTGAAGAATTGGTACGTTTTAATTATGCTGTTGGCGAAGAATATACCATGGACTGCCAGAGGAATAAACAAATCTGTCTTGAAAGAAATACAGTGAGAATGCTCCTTAGAAGCAAGGATGGCAAGACTTTGTCTCACATATTTTGGACATATTATCAGTAGGGACCAGTCCCTGGGGAAGGATATCATGCTAGGTAAAATAGAGGGTCAGCGAAAAAGAGGAAGCCCCTCAACGAGATGGATAGACACAATTACTGCAACAATGGGCTCAAGCATAACAACGATCAGAAGAACTGGGCAGTGTTTCATCCGTTTTACATAGGGTCACTACGAGTCGGAACTAACTGATCAGCACCTAACAACAACATAGTTTTTATCTAGGAATAGGGAGAAGATTATCTTCTTTCAATTTATTTTAAAGGGTTAATAAGAGAAAATAACAACTGAGTTGTTACAGTCATCAAAGTGATTTTGGAAGGCATAATAATCAACAGGTTCACAAAATGGAGAGTAGGTCAGTAGTCCTTATAATATAGATGAAGTAAAAAGAATCAAGTAAAAATGTCTTTTTCAGTGGTTGGTTGTACACCTAGCTTGACTAACTTAATGCACAGGAACATAAGTAATATTACATAGCTCATAATTTTATATAATTAGACAGTATGAAAATTATGTGTAAAAAACACAATTTTCAAAGCACTATGAACTATTGCATCCGTAGAGTTCATGTAAAAGACTCTACATATTATGCTTTGGTATACTGTCAGTTGCCACACATACATAGGAATGTAAATGTAATTGCACACAACGTATCAAAAAGCAAATTTTTTCTAAGGTAATATATACAAAGCGTATTACACCTGGTTTCTGAGAAAACCAAAAACTAAATCCATTACTGTCATGTCGATTCCGACTCATACCAATCCTAGAAGACAGAGTAGAACTGCGCCATGGAGTTTCCAAAGTTGTAAATCTTTAGGGAAGATGGTGGGTTCAAACTGCTGACCTTTCAGTTAGCAGCCAAGTGCTTAACCACTGAGCCATTGGTGATAATTTGATGCTAACTTCCTGTCTATTTCACCTTTAATAATGGAATGAAGGTCACAAAGATTGAATACTTTAATCTGCTTCTAGTCATTTTAGCTTAATTAAAGTGGTTAGACTGTGATTCAATTGTCATTAGAGTCGTCTGTCATTGGGATAACTAAAAGCATATGCTAAATCTATAGTTTGTGTAATTCGTTTCTGGTTTTAGTAAGAACTAGTATTGGTAAACAGTGATAAAGCAATTTCGGTGGTAACTAGACAAGGAGGAATAGTTTCCATTTTTTTGTAAGAGAACATATAAGCAAACTACTTTGCTAATGAAGAAATCAATCTTGAACAGTCATCAGCATGTGTGATAATTTACGCTGAGAAGTTGAAGTGCTTCATATGTGCTCAGGTTTAGAATATTTTCTCTTACATTATGGTCATGCATGAAAGTTCTAACTACAGCAGAAGGAGGCAGACTAGGGACGGTATGGTGCTGGGAACTACACATACCATCTAAGAGAGTCTGCATGGGGTATTGAGACAGGCAGCAGGCAGTAGCCACAGTGAACAGCGTCTGCCTAGAAAGCTAACAAGAAATGAGGGGTTACTGCCAAAGTCATGGAAACTCACAAGTGGTTAGCCTAGGACAGGACAGCGTTTGATGGTGGTACTAAACTGAAAGTGTCGGGAAGGTTCATCATCAGGTATTAGAGGCTCCCCTTCAGCATTGTTTGCGATGGCCAACGGGTGGGCACAGATAAGCAAAGCCGTGCTGGTTTCCATACTAAAATTCTCTGAGTTCTGGATATATTATCAAGATAGGAAGCTATATAAGGTACCACAACCTGGGAATAGATTCAAGACTGGTATAATAAGAACACTAACACCAGTTATTGAATGCTTTCTATGTAACAGGATCTCTGCAAAGTATTTTGTGTATAATTTTTCACTTTATTCCAAAATGAGTTCCATGAACCTACTACTGTAGGACATATGAAAAAGCACAAAGATGACAATTATGCATAAAATAATGATGGACATAAGGGATAAATAATTGTGATCAAACCTAATGATTTCCAGATAAAATCAAGAGAGATATATACTGACATTCATTGGCTTTTTATTATTATAAAGAGTGAAAAACAATTTAGAAATCTCAAGCATAAAAATGAGATTATTTCTCAGGTATTTAAAAAAAAATTAATCCTGATTTTACATTAAATCCAGGAGATAATGAAGCATTATCTACAGATTCTTTTCAAGAAAAAAGTTTGTGGGTCAAGCATTTTAACACCACTTAATTTGTTTTTTAAGCACAAAGCCTAAAGAAAGATAATTTTAGATAGCTATAGGCTCAGAAAATGTTCTACCAATATATCTTTCTTGAGTATAAATTGCTTAAGATATCTAGTAATTGACTAAAAAATGAATCAAAATTAGAAATTTAGGAACAAAGCATGTGGTAGACTGCTCTCTGGAACTTTCAACAGGTACAGTTTCCAAACTATCATAAGAGCCACAAGAAGAATCATTGCCATGGCCATCAGTACATTACTGTACAAAGTCAATGCTGAATGTAGATGCATGGGTGTCTCTTTTACAGGGACATCTGTGTACAATTAAAAGGAAGGAATTTCAGTGTGCAAAATTGTCCTTCATTATGGAAATAACTCTATACCTGAGCAAAAGAAGTGTGTTTCCCTCAGATTAAGGTTAACTATCAGATTCAGTCATTTAATTAAATATTTTCATAACTGTGTTAAGAAAATCCAGCTTTGTTTGGGGAATGTTTAAGTTAGGGTTCTGTAGAGAAAGAGACCAGTTAGATAGATATACAGAAAGATAGATGATGGATTTATGGATGGATAGATGGATGGATAGATGGATAGACAGACAGAGATAGATTTTAAAGAATTGACTCACATAATTGTGGGGAGTTGGCAAGTCCAAAATCTGTAGGTCAGGTGACGGGAGGAGCACAGAGTGAGAGAGTTTTGGCAAAATGTATATTTATAGTCTGGAGGCAGAATGCTTGCTACAAATCTCCCTTTTTGCTTTTAAGGCCTACAACTGATTGGTTGAGGCCCACCCACATTATGGAAAGTAATTTGCTTTACTTAAGGCCAGCTGATTTAATCATAACAGCAACTAGACTAGTGTTTGACCAAACAACTAGGCACCATAGCCTAGCCAAGTTAACACATAAAATTAATCATGACAGAGAGGATATAAACACTTATCTTTGATAGGCGTTTCCTTTATTCTTCTTTTGGTTACTCAGTGTTTTTCATTAAAAATAGAAATATAAAAATAATAAAGATATGAAATTTATTTCTGAACTCCATACATGAAGTCTACAATGTATGTTACATAACTCAATTAAGTAAACTGCACACACTTCTCAGATTTATATATTGTTGAGTAGAATGTATAACCTTTGTGGAGAATTTCCTTAAGATGTTGGCTTAAGGGGATACTTGGGTTCCATCCTGACTTTGTCACTTCATCTTATGATTCTCAGAGAAGCCCTGAGTAGCAGTGCTGCACACGTGACCCTTCCAAGGCTAACTAGTTTACAGGCTAGGGTTCCAGACTTCATAAGTGATTTGTAGTGCTGACTTCCTCAGACTTCATCAGACCACTCTGGAAAACAAAAAGACCCTGAAATGACCTTCCTCATTATACTCCCTCTTGACATTGCAAGAACAAAAGAAGAACCAACAGACTACTGAACCATGCTTATGAGAGCTAAAAAGAAGAAAATAACTTTTATAATTATGTACTTAATAATGCTCATGAAACTTTAACCATCAATGTTATAAATAAATTATTCACACCACGAACAAACAGAGATTGTTATAGTATTAATTTGAATTCTCTAACAGTCTACGTTTCACCTCTACATTTCTTCGATATTTTGAGAAGAATTGATGTAGTCAAGTCTAGCAAAACCATATTAGAAACATAAGTATGGAGCCTACTTTTAATGAGGTATCTAGAGAATATAGTTCTATAAACTTCTTCAGTAACCCACTGGTGATATTTAATAAAATTCACATGATGTACTTACGTTATAAAACATAGTTTAAACTTCTTTATGAAAAAGATCATTGTCTCTGTTGTTGTGGCGTCCACTCAGCTCCATGTCATGACAACACTATGCAAACAGAACAAAACTTGGCCCAGTTCTGTGCCATCTCGTGATCTTTGATATGTTTGAGCTTATTGTTGAGGCTATTGTGTCAATCCATGTCACTGAGGGTTTCCCTCGTTTTCCACTGCCCTTCTACTTTACCAAACATGATGCTTTTCTCTAGCAATTGGTCTTTGCTGATGATGTGACCAGAGTAATTCAGATAAAGTGTATCCATCCTTGCTTCAAGGAGGATTCATTGTCTCTGGAGTTGCAAAACTGGTCATAAGGTGGTAGAAACAAGGAATATCCTTTATTGAGTTCCATGCACTTTATAAACTTTATCTTATTTAACTTGTGAGCTTTTGAAAGGCAAGTACAGAAAATAAAGTCCCAGCAAATAATAAGTGTTTAAAATGTTTGTTAAATTGAGGCCTCATCAAAACCTTATAAAACAGATGGGATTGTCCTTATTTTGCAGTTGAGGAAAGAGACTAAGAGAGAGAACTAGCTTTCTCAAGATCACACAGCAGAGACCATTTGAAAACCTGTTTATCTGATTTGAAAACTTCCACAGATAGCTCTCCTATGCTATGACTTTTTTGTTGTTGTTGTTTATTTTAAAATAGATACCCTTTTATTTGCTGAATTTTATATTTTCAGGTATTTTCTTATACTGCCGACAAAGAAATCCGAACCGATGACTTCTGCTTGGATGTTTCTAGACTCAGTGGACCTGTAATCATGTTAAAATGCCACCATATGAGAGGAAATCAATTATGGGAATATGATGCTGAGGTATAGTAATTTCCTTTATTTACATATTATTTAATGCTTAAGCTCAGTTTATATTTCAAATACATTTAAACTCTAGTTTTTTCCACATTGGCAGAACTGTATTTCAAACATACACACTCATAGCTGATAAAATGAGGATGGCGTATCATATAATTTTTTTTTCCAAACTGGTTAATTAGTATACAACATAAATAGGAAACTAAAATCATTTTTATGTGCTTAAAATTTGTTATCTCCATGTACCTGCTCAATACAAATTAGGCAAGAGACAAGCTAAGCTTGTCTGAGAAGTATGTATGAAGATGTACATACAGGACAATATTGACAGTATTTTCATATTTTCAAATGTTAAATTTTACACTGTTGTGATCTCTGCTGATTATACTCCCCAGCATAAAAGAAAAAAGTTGGCAAGACTGGACAAAATTGGCATGAAATCTCTTTACATTAGTAAATATTTTGCAGATTTCAATAAACTAATTAGGTGCATAATCTGCTGAGCAGCCTCTTCTCAATATAGCACACCTTTCTTTCTGGTAGAGGAGAGGGAGAGAAGACCGCAAAATCCCTGTTGAGATTTTTTAGCCAGGCAGAGTGTAAAAACCAGATCAGCCATCAGATGGAGCTAATAAAAAAGAAATATTTTCCTCTCCTTAAGGAAGTTGCCGTGAAACAGCTTCATTTCTTTCAGTTCTCTTTGCTTAGCAAAATGAATTGGTTGTCTGTGTTACAATTCCCACATTATTATTAAATGGTTGGTGATTTTTTTAAAAGAGGAAATAACCTTATTCCTTCAAGATAATACACTAACTGTAAATGAGCCTCACAGATGGTGTTCTATTCAAGCCTGCAAGAGGAATAGTTGGAAAGGTGCTACAGAGTTGTTGATATTGTTAGTATTTTAACAAGGTCTTCTTTAAAAACTTGTGAATGTCATTTTCATTTGTATAATATTGTAGCTTCATTAGTATATCAGGAAATCTTACTGAAATGTTACAAGATTTGAAACTGGTTAAGTAGGCTTAAATTTGGGAACTAAAATGTATATGTTACCAGGCCCTTTGGACACACAATCATCTTTTTCTGGCCATAATTAAGGACAAACACTCTAAAACCTTTCTATATTGCACCAGCATGTTCTGTCCTGACTCATCTGCCTTTTCAGTATCTTATTCACCTTCTTTGCCTGACTGCCATTTTCTTCTGTTCAACTCTTGGTCTATTATCACCATCCTTTATAGCAAGCCTGCAGAAGATATCTCCTCTAAGTTTATGTGGGTAAACTTGTACCCTTGATCAGATCTCTGCCTCTTCTATAAAGAAAAGTATAGATAAGTGTACTGATAAAGTAAAAATTCTTTCATGTAATATTTTTTAAATAAAAATTTTGTTATTGTTGACTTTACTGCTATTTAGTTTCTACCAGGAGCCCAGGACTTTACTGAGATCATGCTAAAAATAAAGAATCTAGTATCTTTATAAATAAAGGGAATGATTGTACATATAGTTCTTTGAACATTTTATTGTGGTTTGGGTAGAAGTTTACAGAGAAGATTAGTTTCCCATCCAACAATTTATTCACATTTTGTTTCATGATATTAGTTGCAATCTTCTCAATGTGACAGCACTCTACTCACTTCCTCCCTGAGTTCCCTGTTTCCCTTCATCAATCTTTCCTGCCACTTCCTTCCTCCTGAACTTTGTTCTTAGGCAGATGATGCCCTTTTGGTCTCATGTGGTTGATTGTTCTGAGAAGTACATTCCTTAAGGGTGTTATTGTCACTTTATAGGTCTGTCTGTTGTTTGGCTGAAAGATGATCTCTAGGAGTGGATTCAGTTACAGGTTCGAAGGATGTCTAAGGGCCATAGTCTCAGGGGGTTCCACCGGTCTCTATCAGACCAGTAGGTCTGGTCTTTTTTTATGAATTTGAATTTTTTCTACATTTTTCTCCCACTTTGTCCGGGACCTTCTACTGTGATCAAAATGCAGAGTGGTTGGTAGTGGTAGCCGGGCACCATCTAGTCCTTCCGGTCTCAGGCTTTTGGAGGCTGTTGTTCTTGTGGTCCATTAGTCCTTTGGACTAATTGTTGCCTTGAGGTACATATATTTTTATAAGATAAAGCAGTGTTGAATTTCAGAATACCAATTTTAATCTTTAAACTTTTCTGTAACTCTTGAATGAGCACTATCTTCTACAGTCATCACTTGAATTTCTTCACTTCTGAAATGACTATTGTTGGTAATCAGGTGCATATTTTTGTTCATATTTTCTGTTAGCTAATAATTGAATACTAAGGGATTTTAAAAAAAGAAAAGTGAAAAAATAGGTAGCTTTACCTCAGATTAAAAAAATTATATTTGTAAATTTACTATTTTGGAAGGCTAGTAATTATCTGTTGCAGTATTTTTAGAGCATTGTAATATTTTATGTCAAGTAAATTTTGTTTCTAGAACACACCAAAAATGCTTATACCACCAATATTGAGAAATTTTTATTTAAAAAAACTCCAGTCATCTTAATACTGTAACATATAACATGACTTGATTTAGTCTTCTGTATGTTTATGTTTTTAAAATTAAATTGTGATGTTGAACTTGTCTAATGACACCATTTTGTCAAATTTTAAAATTTACAAATCATGATATGGAGAAATCACATGAGAATAGAGTAATTGTAGGACTAATGCATTGCCTTTCTGGAAATTTCAGTTTTGAAATAAAGGACTGATTTTATTTGTGAGGTAATAAAAAAGGAGATGATTTTAAAAAGATAATTGAAATATAGTATTTATTTTTTATGGTTTCCTTTTCTTTCAAGTTTTAAGATTAGGATCCTTTAGTCCACAGAATAGTCCAGACCCTTGCCACTCAAAGCCTGATTCCAATAACATCAACAGGGAATTTGTTAGAAATAGATTCTGAGACACCACGCCAGACACACTAAATCATGATCTGTGTTTTAACAAAAACTCCAGACCATTCATAAACACATTAAAGTTTGAGACACAGTTTAGACAGTGGCCAAACCTTTAGTTACTGTCATTAGTCTTTTTTGTACCATGTTGAGAAAATATTGCAAAGTTAGGAAAAGGCGGAAATACACTCAGAAAATGATAAGGCTTCCCCAGGGAAAGTGAGCAAGAAGATGAGAAGTGCTAAGATGGGAAAGAGGAGTAAGTGCCAAGGAGCTCTGTTCTTCTCATATCCCAACAAGCAGAAAGTAGGCAAATGGTGCATGCTACTTCTTTAATTTAATTCTTTATCTTTTGCTAGCAAGGGCAAAATTATTTTCCTTTGAGAAACTTCCAAAGTGATGCAGTTTCAAAGCCAGATAAAACGTGGTGAAGATCACAGAATTACAGAACTAAAATTTCCTTAATGTTCTCTCTGTTCAGCCTTTATCAGGAAGAAGCTAAAGCACAAAGATTACACCAGCAGTAGCTGAGCCAGGATTTAGCTCCTACTAAAGTATTCAAAGAAATCTAGTTATCAGTGCAATTTTGAATCTCACAGTATGAACAGCAGAAATATTTCATCACTACATCTCCCGTAATCCTTTCAATCCTAGAAAGGCAAGTCAGAGATAGGAGCAGAATTGTTGGTATATCCAGAGAGAAATGGAAACAGTATTACCAAGCCTCAAAACGGGGAGTCTGTCTAATTGCTTTGGTTTTGTTTACTTCTAAAGTGAGTGGGGGGAAAGAGAAGAGAATAAAGTTCGTTGGGAGTTTATAATTTTCTATGCTATTTGTATGCATTTTCTCATTCAACTACCACAGTAGTCCAACAAGGTAGCTATTTTAATTATCTTTATTTTGGAAATTAGTAAAATAACTTGTCTAAGATTGTACTGGGTGGTACAAAAGGTTAAGGGCTCATCTTCTAGCCAAAAGGTTGGCAGTTCGAACCCACTCAGAGGTGCCTCAGAAGACAGGCCTGTCATCTGCTTCTGAAAGATAACAGCCTTGAAAAGCCTATGCAGGAGTTTTATTCTGCACACGTAGGGTCACCATGAGTCAGAATCTATTCCGCAGCAACAAACAACAACAATTACAACAAGGTTGTACACCTCAGGTTTGTGGTACTAAATCCAGAAATCTTTCTGTTACACTACATTGCCTCTCAATGTAATTGAAAAACTAGAAACAACTAGATGCTTTCAATGGTGCTGATCTAATAGGCCAAATGCACAGTGATGCAAAGGAAAGCAATGATTAAATACTATTGATTATTTGGGGTACTAAATTTTATTCACACAGAATTTCTCTTTTCCTTAATAATGGGAATTATTACAATTAATACAATTTTTATCTATAATAAATATATTTTACTTAGGTAAACAAGTATAAAATAAAACTAATTAATATTGTCTAAATGCTTACAAACAGCTCTACATATTTGTACAATGATTAATATCTCTCTAATTGCTTCTCCTTTCAAATTGTATGAAACTAAGCACATATTGGTAATAAATACATGTCTTTGGTCAACTTGAATTTGAAATGCAGAGTTTCCCACTATCTTAAGTAAATATTTCTTAAATAAGAGGTGGTGTTTTTGTTGTTAGTTGCTGTGGAATCAATTCCAGTTCATGGCGATAGGACCATGAATTTAATTCGCTATTACCTTATACCTGGCCTAACCTGTTTGAATTTGGTGCAACCTGAACATTACTAGCAAAACTGCAAAATCTTCACCTGACTTAGAAAACTCCTTAATAAATTACATGGACACTTTGGTGCTATGAAATGCACATTGCCACAGAGTTGGAACAAAAAGGGAAAAAGGGAAAATTAAAAAAAAAACTAAATTTCACCACACTGCTACATTTAAATTATTTTTGTAAATGTCTGTCATCCCTCCATTGTATTTTATTCACGTTTTCTGGTTTTCTGCTTGAACATCACTCAAACCATATGAAATTTCTATTTTTCTGCAATAACTACACATAATCACAGGCAGCAACATACAGTCTGAGGATCTAATTTTAGAACAGACA